CCCTCTGAGCCTCTACAGACTTTCATCCATTCACCATGTGTTTGTTGAGAAGACCTGGAAGGATAGTGCTGCACCTCCCTCCCCAAAGGTGGGGCTGGAATGGCTCAGGCAAATTAAATTGAGGTGGCATAAGACTGGCTGAAATCACCTGGGAAGTGGAGACAGGCCCAGGATAGGACCCTGGGGCTGTCAGTAATCAGAAACAGGAAGTGATTGAGAAACAGGAGGGACCAGCTGAGGCAGAGAAGAGGAGAGAAGAGAAGAAGGAGGGAAGGAGGGCCTAGGAGGAGAGCAAAGGGTTCTAAGGCCGAGTACAGTGTGCCCTGAGCTGTGGGGGCCTGAGGCCAAGTTTACACTCGTCAACCTCTACAGATATGGGCCATGGGCTGTCCTGCATTTTCTTGTTCCTCAGCACTTCAGGCCCCAACTGTGTAGAACTCTAGAGGGCTTTTTGGCCTAGGACATTGGTTCTCTCTGTGCCCTGCTCTGGCTGGGCCTCTCCTAGTTCCTTATGGAACCCAGATCAATTGGTTCCTCCATCAGGAGGCTCCTAGGCTGGGGCAGCTGCCTGGGTCCCCAGGGCTCCTGTGCTCTGTGGTTCTATACCTGCCCCCTTTAACAAGGAGCTATGTCATCCTCATCCCCATCCACCCAGCTCAGAGCCCAGATCCCATGGGTGCCCAGTGAGTGTTCCTGGAGCAACTGGAAGCTAATGAGTAGCTGTCCCTAGAATGTGCTTAGGACACCCGTCCCCATCGCATGCTGTCACCTGAGGCAGGTGCTTAGGCAAGGGGTCTAAAGGAACCTGGCTGCAGACTGGAGCTCCCGGGAACAGAGAGTATGACACCCTTATTCTATATCCCTAAATTCCCAGCACAATACCTGGCACACAGTAGGTACTTCTTTATTCTATTTGGTCAGTCATGGGACTTGAACCCAGGGCCCAAGCACTGTCCCTCAGCTCTTATTGCTCAAGTCTAGCACTCTACCACTTTGTGCCAAAGTGCCACTTCCGGTTTCTGGTTAATTGGAGATAAGCATTTCACAGACTTTCTTGAACTGTGAGATGGATTGGCCGAGATCTGTAGTGGGGAACCTCATATCTCAGTCCCGGGTCCTGCCCAGTTCTTGGGTTCCTTCACTGGCCTGTCTGAGGAGACCCATGGTTGTGGGTATGTTGGGCTCAGGTGGAGGTCCTGCCCTGAGCAGCAGGTCCACTCCCTGGATGTGACTTTGGGTCTGAGGAAATGTGGCTTGAGATGTTCAGCCATGGGACAAAGAATCCCAGCAACAACCAAGACAGTGTGTCCAGGATGGAAGGCACCAGCCTTGCTCTACCTGTCCCCTAACCAGCTGAAGCAGCAGGGCCCTGGCCCTGCTGTGATGTGGACTGGAGCAGGCAGCTGAGACATGGTGAACTGAGAAGTGGGACAGGATCAGAGGGAGAGAGGCAGACGCTGAGCTGAGCACCCAGTGCCCAGCCTTTCACCCCTTCAGGGGTGGGAGACTAGCTAGCAATGGGTCCCCAGAAGGCAGAGCTGGGACCTTGAAGTTGTAGTATAACACTCTTCCTGTCAGAGTTGCCAAGGAGTGAGTTCCCAGTATTGGGAGTGTGCAAAGTAGTTGGGGCAAGAGAGTGGGCATGTTTTAACAAGTGTGTTGGTTTGGAATCCCAGGTCCGTGGCAGGGGAAGACAAACATGCCCTTCCCAAGGGCAAGGCTAGAGTGAGAACTAGCTCACTTGGACCCTAAGAGGCCCCTCCTGACTTTGGGCTGGATCACCAACTATAAAAGAAGTCAGTCCTATGCTGGGTGTGGTAGTGCACACCTGTAATTCTAGCTACTCAAGGTGGAGGCAAAAGGATAACCAGACCCTATCTCAAAACAAAAATAAAAGGGCTGTGGGTGGGGCTCAAGTGGTAGAGTATTTGCATAGCCTGTGCAAGGCACTGGGTTCAGTTCCTGATACTTGAAAATAAAGTAAAATAGACGTCAGGCTTCCGTAACTTCTGACATGGTGGAGCAGGGGCACAGGTCCCGATGGCTGTGCCCCATGACCATGACCATTTCAGAGCTCCCACAGTGTCCTCAGGTATTGTCCTGGCCTGCTCCCACCTTCCACTCTGGCCTCTATCCAAATGGCAGTCTCAGAGGCCCTTCTGGACTTGTTACCTAATGTAGCATCCCCTGGTCCTGAGAGGGAAGGGCTGACAACCTCGCAGCAACTGCCAGCTGGTCTATGGGCTGCATCCTCAAGGTTTCCCCCTCCCAAGTAGTGGTCGTGGTTGAGGTGGGCCCAGGCCCCACATTACTGCTCTCTGAATGGCCATCCTAATTTCCAAGTTCTCCACAGATCAGCTAAGGCCTCCAGCCCTCCCTCTAATTCTGCCTCCTGAATACTTCATGGGTGTCTCTAAGGGAACACCCCGATGAACAGTCAACCCCAACTCTTTCTTTGCATTTCTCCTATTACTGACACACCAGGTCTCCCCCACAACCCTTCTGGCTTCCCACAGAGGAATGCAAATGCTTCCAGAGCAGGGACTTGCTTTGTTTGCTACTCTGAATCTAGTCACATGCTCAGTGCTCCCTGAGTGCTCCTGAGTGAACCAAGTGGCTAGGAACTCATCATTCAAATCAAGGAGCTGGCATTAGGACTGCAGCACATGCCTATTTCTGAAGGTACCTGGTGTGTCAGCAGAGGGTTCCCACACCAGAGGGACCTTCAGCAGTCACATGGGAAGGGCTAAGGTCACAGAGACTGAATATTCTCAATGAAGGGCCAGGATGAATGACTTGGGTGACAGGCACACGGCAGAAGGCACCAAGGAGATGTCTGTGTGACCTGCCTGGTGCCTTCCCAGCCTTGGGCCAGCAGCAAGCCAGCCTTGGGAGAAGACAGAGAACAGTCTAAAGTGAGCAATGCCCCCTGCCCTGAAAAAAAAGCCCCCAAACCTACCTCTCAGGGGTTTCTGAAAACTCCATATCCATCTAGACAAAATCTTTTAAGCAAGAGCAACTTGACCGAAATCCTGGAGGGAAGCGCTTTAGCCCCACTCACCAAAGAGGCTGGGGATCTGAGGCTGGCTGCATGCAGAAGGCTCTTGGGAATGCCCCCCCACCCCCACCCCATCCCCCGCTACCAAACTCCTAATTCCCTTGTCCATGAAGTCTGCTGGAAACAAACTGAGCTCACTAGTGAAATCAGCCAGGCACTTACATAGATGACACTATGAGAAATGTATTCACATCCAAGTTCACAATAGGGGTGTCATCTTGGTTCCAAGTCTACTGCTTAAGAGGTCCCTTTGTGGCTTTCCATTGCCAGTGTTTCTCCTGCTTCCTTCTCCCCGACTCAAAACTGCCTGTGGGAAACTGCCCACAGGTTCTAAAGCCAGACTTCACACCACCCCATAAGGAATGCAGGGTGGTAGGGATGAGGCAGTGACACTTGGGACTTGGGGAAGGGAGTGTATCTGTGGAGGGGGGAGTTGTCACCACATAGAAACTTTGGTCTTGGGCATGCTCGATGCACTGGCCACCCCTGGCCTTAGTTTATGCCGCCCTGTATGTGGAACGTCATAGGCTCCGAGCTGCCAGAGAGGGCTGTGCTATCTGGAGCCAGAGGGAGTGCAGGCTGCCTGCCACCCTGGCCCATCCAAGGCAGACCTCATGCCATTAGCTCACATGCTGCCTGTGCGTACTCTAAGCCTTGCTCAGCTCACCCTCTCACTCCCCATGCAACCAGTTCCCAGGAGATTCATTCCCTTAAGATTACACAGTAGCTTCCAGCTGGATGCCTCCCTGGGGCCCTGCCAGCCCAGTCTGCACTCCCACCAGTGTTCTTAAAAAAAAAAAATCCCTTAGACTCAGCAATCACACTGTCTGGAATTTACCCCATGGCTACACTCAACAAGAACAAGAGCAGACCATGATGCATAGATAGATACGGGTGTGCACGGCAGCCTTCTTCCTAACAATAACAACTGGAAACAACCTAGCATCTGTCAGCAGACACTAATGTGGCTGCTTGAAGAGGGAAAGCCAATGTGCCAGGATGACACTAGGCCTAGTCCACAACTGCAGCTTATTACACATACATCCTGACTGGAGACGCCCCGCATCAGGGTAGAACAACTCTGGCCCCAGGGCCTTGTGGGCATGGCTGACGCCTCAGGTTTGGCCATGGGTGTGACACCTTGAGTTCAGTCCCTCCCACATAAACTGCTACCTGTGATGCCACAGGTGCTGATCCTGAAGCACCTCTCCTTAGGCACATACATATCTCCAGAATGTCCTAGGGAGGCTGACCCAAAACACTCGACTACAGACAACGGAGTACATTCTTCCTATTATCTGTTTGCTCATTTTAGGCATAGAGCAGTGCCTGTTTACTTGAAGCAGAGATGCCATTTACTGTACCGTTGGTTAAACTGTAGGGGTTGTGTGACAACTAAACAAGATGTTTGGTACAAGGTGCCTGGCAATAGTGACACCATGATAAGAATTGTTATTTGGACAAATGAAACCCAGCTAATCCAGGCAACTAGAGAAAGCTACAAATATTCTCTTCAGATTCTCTGCCTGATTTAAGCAGTTCTGCAAGAACTCGGTGCCTTTTACTGCATCTGTCACGAGGCAGGCACACCGGAACGGCCTAGAATCGCCAAAAGACTGAAGTGGCCAAGTGTGGTAGTATTTACTTAGAATCTTTGGGAAGCTGGAAACAGCCAGTCCAAATTGCATAGTGGTTTCCAGGCAGCTAGGATACATTGCAAGACCATCTCAAAAGAAAAAGAAAAGCAGAGACGAGCATGTTAACAGCAAGTGCTAGATGAAGCAACTGAAACCTTGCCCCTACCATGGGTCCGGGGCAGTGCTGGGCTTGTACTGAAGCAGGCCAGGTTCCCAGGCCTGCACTTGTCTCGGGGGGCAAGAAGGCCACATGGTATGGCCCACATGAGATGTCCCCCTTGACAGCACCCGCACACCCACACAGGTCAAGGAGAACAAAGGACTCTTTATTGCCATCAAAATCACCAGGCTGAGCAAGTGTGGAGTGCCTCCATGACCCCAGCACCTCCTGGCTAGGACACAGGCTTCTTCAGAGGGCCACGAGCAGAAGAACATTCTTGACTCACAAGGCGCCATGCAGATACAGAGCTAAAAACTTCCTGAATGTCTCTGGCTGGAAACCAATTGGCCCAACAGGTTCCTGGAAAGAACACAGCCCATTAGGATCCTGCGACTGGGTTTAATGGCAGCAATTAAAGCAGAGGTCAGTCTTATGTGGATAGTCAGTGTGGATACTCACTGCTTTTCCCCCCATCACCTCTCTCAGGGGCCAAGGACCCTGAGAGATGGCCCTGACGAGATAGACGCCTGAGGGGCTGCAGTTAGAGCAGGAAGCACTCCTGGCCCTGATCAGTCACATCATCTGCTGACACTGCCCGGCTCCCTAATTCCTCTCACTTCAACCGCCAGGAACAAAAGGCCGGCTGCCCTCTTTAATCCCGGGACAATAATCCTTCACCCATTCAACACTCGTTTATCAGGCTCTGGCTCTTGCTGTCCTGGGCCTCTGCTCTGTGCGAGAGACCCAGAAGCACCATGATCTGGTTTCTATCCCCAAGGAGCTTTCAGTCAGGTGTACAAGGAGTGATAATAAAAGGTGACAGACCTCGCTGTGGGAGTAAAAAAGGTGCTGCAAGAAGGGAAACGATTAACTCACACACACAAGGGTAGGCGGAATGGACTAGAAAAAGAAAAGGAAGGCAGCACTGGAGAGGGCAGTGTTTGCGATAGCACGGGGATACAGTGGAGGCGAAAAGGGTGGGGGCGGCTGGAGCCTAGGCTCACTGTGGTGAAGGGAGGGGATGCACAGGTGGGAGCTGGAACTGGAGAAGTGGAAGCCATCTAAGCAAACCCAGCTTGAGGCTTAGCCCTGAGCTCAGATTCTAGAAGAAGAGGTTATAGCGAGGGGACCTTAAAAACAAGGGGAGAAGGAGAATGGGGGGAGGGAAAGTGGGAGGATAGGAGGTAGGGGGCAACAATGTTCAGCAAGAAATGTACTCATTACCTTACTTATGTAACTGTAACTGCTCTGTACATCGCTCTTAAAATTTAAAAACAAAATTCAATGGAATGAGGCTAAGAAGAGAAAGGAAGTGGCAGGTGAGACTGCATGGGTCACAGGGGTCTAGAGCCTTGGCTTGGAAGGTGTTTCCAAAGAGAAACAAGAGCTGACACTCAGCAAGTCTAGACTCAGGTCTGTGTGGGACACAGCTGGTCACAGACCCAGCAGCACCCCTGTTCTGGCCTGCTTTCCTCTGAGTGCAAGATGGCTGCCTGGTGTTCTAGAAGAAAATGCTTCAGGCACCATTGCTTTTCTGAAGACAGCCACATGGATGGTCCACTGAGCCACAGCAATTATGCTAAGGACAGATCTGGGGGTGAAACGTGTGTGTTGTTTCCAGGCTCTGCCCTGGTGGAGCTCTGAGCTCGGGTGCACAGGTGTGCACAGGTGGTCACCACACTGTGATGGCAGCAGCATCTCTGGGGCCCATGGAGGCACCGGAATGAGGCAGTGCAGGGACCAGTGGTGCTGAGCAGAACTTACTAAACCTGGAAAGACAAGGAACAGAAATGGTAAAGTGAGAGAGAAACCCCTAAGAGAAGGGGCAGTGGTGACAAAGCAGGAACCTGCAGGATGCTAGAAGGAGCTGGATATGATGGCTGACAGGCAGGCAGAGGGAAGCTGGAGCTGAAGGGAAGGGCGAGGAGATGCCCAGGGTGAGCAGCCCTAGGGCTGCGGCCCTCCTCCAAGACCAGCCTCAGCGCTCCCAGGCTGGCCCTCGTGGGGTGGGTCAAGGTGCTGTTCTAACCACCCAGCTGGAGATGGCTGGACTTACCACCACCACCTTCTTTTTGATCACTGGGCGACACCAGAAGTGCTGGTAGAGAAGCTGGTCTGAGTCTACCCATACCAAATTCTTGACGCCCTCATCAGAGTCCAGATCTGTGGTATTCAACTGCAACACCAGGAACTGGAAGACACGTCCGTCTGTGCCCACGCCTTGCACAACAACGGGCTGCTCCAAGACCCTGGGGGTGTTCTGAGTGGAAAAGGGGACCAGTAAATGAATCGTAAACTGTGGGGTGCAACAAACAGCACAGAGCAGGCAACCTCCAGTTTTACCCTTACAATCTACCCGCTCCCAGGTAACAACTCCACCATCGGTCAGTAAGGATAGAATGAAGGGTTGGCATACTGCCAGGCCAGGTCTCCCCTCACCCAGCCTGGCTCAAGGCCCCAGGGGGCCCGCTCTTCAACTTGAACACTGAGAGGTAATTACTGGGTGAGCTGAGGAGTGCAGGCACTGAGCTGGGAGGTTAAAGATGGAAATCCTTCAAACTCGCTCATTATCTGATGGGGGCAACAGGGACATCAGCTATCAAATGCTAACCTGGAGGTTAATGAATAGACACAATGTCATTCAGCCAGTTCTCGCTCTATCTGACAGATGAGGAAAGACACCCAGTTAGGTGAACTGATGAGTTTGAAGTCACAAATATGTGTGGCCCCAAAACCAGTGTCCCTGGCAGACAGCACATTATCCACTTCCACCCTGCGGCTGAGGGCCTGGCATGGCTGTAACCTCCTACACGTGTACACCGATGACAGCCATCTAGGCTTCATGCTCTCATGCAACTCAAAATGGGCCTCAATCCTATACGTTCCGTTCCAGCTGTGTCACACAGGATCTCAGCAGTCAGCATAGCGGTTAATGCTCTTTCACTTAAGTGTCATTTTGTAAGGATAATGACACTAAAACCACTTACTCAAGGCCTCTTAGGTGCCAGGTGCCTCAACTGTTTTCCATAAGCTAACCTCTACAATCAAATCTAAACATATATTTCTATCTAAAAGACAAAGAACCAGGTTTGGAGAGGTGATACAATTTCCTCAAAGTCACCAATGAGGTATGAACCAGGCTCGACCCCCAGGCTATTAAGTCACTTAAAACCCTATCACACTGGCTTACACCTGGTGTCCCAGGATATCTATTGGTAGGAACTCTCTTGTTTGCACAGCACCCTATTGGATGATAAATCACAAGGTCACTCTCCAGAGGCTTCCCACAAATTCAGTTTGGTAACTGCTACTTATTAGACAAAGAGCTAGCAAGCAGGCCACACGAAGCAGGGTGTCCCTGATGCAAAAGTACTGCAGCCTCACTCCCCAAGGATGATCTGACATTAGAACTAGCTAATGGCAGACCTCAGTGTAGGCCACACTGGGGCTGTTGGCCTTAGAAATACCTGTTCTTAGCTGCATGAGAAATAAATAAAGAGAAAAGCACCTGTAAGTATTAGCCGAGAATTCTGTATTGACTCTTATCTCTCTCTACAGATCAATAAAACTGCAGGTAGTACATAAATTTCTCAGCAATTTTACCTTTTACATGGAGGCTCTTCCCATAATTGCTCAACTTCACATCTCCAGGAATAATTTGTACCTGGAGGGGCTGGAGGAGGCCTCTCTCCTACCCAACTGGGTGGCAATTAGTGGCAGCCTTACTACTCAGGCTCTTCCAGCACAGCTGGCACAGACTACAGTGAGCCTGCAGACCTGGGACATGGCATGTCCCTGGGACATGGCATGTGGCTGCTTCCTTCCTGTGCCCAAGCTAAAAGGCGCACATTCTTTAAAGCTGAAGGATCCAGGATCCAGTCCCTGCTCCTGCTCATCAGCAGTGGGAACCTGAGTGAGTTTCCCAACCTTCCAGAGCCTTCAAGAAGTCTACCATGAGGGAATGGGAATAAAGCCAATCTACTGAGGATTGGAAAGATACAAGGAGGTCATATAAAGATGTGACAGCTAGAAGCTGGCCACACAGTGGCTCACGCTATAATCCTAGCTACTCTGGACGCTGAGATCTGAGGATCTCCCTCTCTCCCGACAGGAAAGTCCATGAAACTCTTATTTCCAATAAACTATTCAGAAAAAAAACAGAAGTGGCACTGTGGCTCAAGTGGTAGAGCACTAGCCTTGAGCAAAAGAAGCTCAGGAACAGTTCCTAGGCCCTGAGTGCAAGCTTCAGGACTGGCAAAAAAAAAAAAAAAAGACAGTGACAACTGCTAATCTGTTCTTTGTTGTTGTCCTCACTGCATTTGCCATGCTAGAAATAGAACTTACACATGCTAAGCCACACCCCCAACCCACCTGCCAACCTCTTGGCTGTATTAGCATGGTCAGGTAGCTCAGCCACCCCTGTAAAGTAGAGCTAACAGTGTCTCTAACATGGGATTACTACAAGGAGTAAATCATGCAGTGGTCTTCAAATTTCAGTGCAGAGCTTTTTTTTTTTGGTCATGGGGTTTGAACTCAGGACCTAGGTACTATCCCTGAGCTTTTTCACTTAAGGCTAATATTCTGAGCCATAGCTCCACTTCCAGATTTCTGGTGGTTAATTGGAGAGAAGAGTCTCACAGACTTGCCTGCCCAGGTTGGCTTGGAACTGCAATGCACAGATCTCAGCTTTCTGAGTATCTAGGATTATAGTAAGCATGAACCACCAGCATCTGGCTAGTGCAGGGTTTTTTTTTTTGTTTTGTTTTGTTTTTTGTCGGTCGTGGGGCTTGAACTCTGGACCTGGGCACTGTCCCTCAGCTCTTCAGCTCAAGGCGAGCGCTCTACCACTTGAGCTACAGCGCCACTTCCGGTTTTCTGGTGGTTTATTGGAGATAGGAGTCTCACGGTCTCTCCTGCCCGGGCTGGCTTTGAACCACGATCCTCAGATCTCAGCCTCCTGAGTAGCTAGAATTACAGGCGTGAGCCACCAGCGCCCAGCTAATGCAGGGTTTTTAACCTTGCGCTTATACCAGCATCACCCAGAGGCTTGGCAATGCTGACTGGTGGGCCCCAACCCCAGAGCTTGTGATTCAGGAAGTCTGGAAAGTGCATTTCCCACAGTTTCTAGGACTTGTTTTAGGACCCACTGCTAACAAATGCCTAGGATGTGGCAGGTGCTCAATAAGGCAGGGTCCATTCAACTCCCTACCCAAGTAGCTAACCACAATTCCATAGCCCCACCAGAACCTAGCCAGTTAGGATGAGAAATGGTGGTTAGAATTTCCTCATTCCTCCTGGAGGGCCTTAGGGTCTAGCCAAGACCTAGGAGTCCGATAGTATCTCAGAACCATCAAGGCCAAGGATCTGGTGTACCAGGTTTGCTTAGGGCTCCCATATAACCCTCTTGGCTTTTGCTCTAGAGTCAGACTTTCTGCCCATCTTGGGACACCTCTTTATGACAACCTAAGTCCTCGGATCAAGGTACTACCAGCAAGTGGCTTATTTGTTTCCTACAACCCATTCTAGTTGTTGGCAGCTATGAGCCACCTGCATAGCCTTACTTTCTTCTGCCTCCTCATGGTGCCCTGTGCTCTAGTTCTACACAGCAGAGAGATGTGTGCAGCCTGGACAACAGAATGCTCTAGAGTGGGGTACATCTTGTTCCAGTCCTTTCTCCCTCACTCATTGCTATGAAGCACAGATCAAGCTGATTAGTTCCTGGAGATTCTGCAGATTAAAAGATGGGACTCCAATGACACCTGGTGGGCTACTGCACAAAGTCATGCCCCAGAGAAGGTCCACTATTACCTCAGGGTAAGTATAACTGCTTCTTCTTAGGATTCCTCAATAAAACATGAGTCCCGATCCCTCAAAGCCTTCTTCCTCCAAGCAACTCCATTGTCTTCCCCATATACATACCCCATAGAGAAGCCGAGCTTGAGCCAGGGCATTGCCAAAAGCAAACAGGATCATCTTGGCCCGAAGCTGATCAGGTTGAAAGCGGTATGTCCGTGTGTTGGCTCTGTCCAGGAAATACAGAGTATGTGGATGAGGGTAAGGATAGCCTTCCCGGAATCCTGCAAGATTCATGTGGAGAAGAGACAGATTCACCAGCCTGGCAAAGAGCCTCAGGAGTAGCCCCTCACCTGGGCTCAGGGCAGGAACTTCACTCTTAGAAAAGGTACCTGCTATCCTTCCAGCTCAGGTGGGGACCATTCAAGGCCATAGAGAAAGGTAAAAAGACATTGGCTAGAGTCTATAGTGCAACCAGAAAGAGGTGCCTTTCACACAACCCAGGAAAAGCCCTCAAGCCACCCATAGAATTCTGACATCAGAATTGTTTCTCAGGAGTAAAGTGTGAAATCAACTTTTGAGCAAAATCCCTTAATGCCGCAGTTTCTTGGCCCATAAAATGGGAGTCTCAGTACCTGTCATACAGGCTGCTACCTGGGTCCTAGAAGATAATGCACAAGAGGTTTCTAACACTGGTAGGTATCTTGTATAGCCTTTTCCTTCAAAAGGTCCCAAGTCCTTCACCTCCCTACTGCCTAAACCAAAGGCACTGCTCCTTACCTGTGTCTTCTTTCACATCATAAACATTGCATTCCTGAAGATCAATAGTGGGAGATATGGGATAGAAGGTCTCAAGAACATGGCTCTTGGTAGCTTCAACCTCTTCTCTGGGGGCAATTGGGGGCAGAGGGTCCTTGGTGCTCAGTCGGGTACCACTAGTACCACGGATCTGAAGGAGAACAGATTCTAAAGGGAGGAAAGATGATCAGTCCAATCTGTCTAAAGGCCTTTCTTTCTTTCTTTCTATCTTTTTTCTCAGCAAAACTTGAAGCCTTTTAGTCCCTATGAGCTTCAAATCCATTATAGTTTTTCTAGGGGACCAGCCAAATCACACAACACAAAACCTGGCATTCGGATGTTAATCCTGGGATCTCTGCGAGGAAAACAAACCAGATCCAGGGTACTTTCTATTTATTTTTGGTAGTACTGGCATCTGAACTTGGGGCCTCACACTTGCTAGGCAGGTGCTCCACTGCTGAGCCATGCTTTTAGCCATATTTTTAGCACTGGTTATTTTTATACAGGATTTCACTTCCTGCCTGGACTATGATTCTCTTATTTTACTTTCCACCATAGCTAGGATGACAGGCATGTGCCACTATACCCAGCTTCTTTCACTGGGATAGAGTCTCTCAGACTTTTTCAGGCTGGCCTGAAACCATGATCCTCTTGATCTCATCCATCTACACAGCAAAGGTGACAGGCATGAGCCATCAGTGTCCAGCTAATCACTCTTCTTGTATCCCATCTTGACAAACCCCATACCTGCTGGGTGTTTGGATGGCCCCATATAGATATCCCTGAGCACTAGCTCCAAGTCAGACTCCAGAGACAGTAAGAGTTACTCTCTATATTCAAGAATCTTGCTATGCAGCACGTATTCCAGCAAGAAGTGTAAACCATGTTTAGATACAGCCTGGGAGTCATAGCTGTCTCCAAGGCCTAGGGAAAGCCCAAAACTGAGAGCCCTAACCTCTCAAACGGAAAGTTTGGCAGTCAGAAAACCTTGTATGAATCCAACTATGCATGGAGATGTAGGTGTCTGAGGAAACAAACTTGCATCTCATTCTTCTCAACTAGTGTGCCACCATGAATGTGTGTGGAAGTAATTCAGTGTTGCCCACGGGAGACTACATTCCACCAATAGACAAAATATACCTTGTAGACTTGTTTGAGCATGGGCCCCTGCATGGGCTCCATGGAGGCAAAACTCCTCAGCAGGTCAAATCACAGTGAAAAGAATAGATCAGGACCAGGTCCTGGTGGCTCATGCCTGTAATCCTAGTTACTCAGGAGGGCTGAGATCTGAGGTTCAAAGCTAGCAGAAAAGGCTGTGAGACTCTTTTTTTTTTTTGGGGTCTGATAGTAGGGCCTGAACTCTGGGCCTGGGCGCTGTCCCTCAGCATTTCAGCTCAAGTCTAGCGCTCTACCACTTGAGCCACAGCACCACTTCCAGCTTTTTTCTTTTTGCTTATGTGGTACTGAGGAATCAAACCTAGGGCCTCATGCATGCAAGGCAAGGGCTCTACCACTGAGCCACCTTCCCAGCCCTGTGATACTCTTATCTCCAATTAACCACCTAAAAATCAGAAGTGGAGCGGTGGCTCAAAGAGGTAGAGTACTAGCCTGGAGCAAAAAAGCTCAGGGACAAAGCCCAGGTTCTGAGTTCAAGGACTGACCAAAATAGCAGTGCCACTCCATCAGTGTGGCCACCCTGACTGCAGATGTAAACACTGGATATTCAAGTGGCAAATGGATAAACTTTGACTGTTGGTTAAAATACATCATAACTGTACCTCAAAATTAGTTTCCTAAAGCATTTCCTGTTCCTTCACATACACTCTGCAAGGAACATAACTGTGCCTGGACCTCTCCTAACCTTGGGTTTTAGATTCTCCCCACAGACCACTCTAGTGTGGTTTCTAATTCAATTCCCTCCACATCCCTCCTTCAGTGACAGCTCCAAATGGGGCAGTTTAATTAGAGGTAATACTTGACGAAGGGCCAACAAGTACTCTCCGTTAATGAGGCTTACTAATTTCCTTAGTGGTGCCATTACCTCTGCAAGGCTGACTTCTTGCCAGGAAGTATGTATGCAAAGGGACAAGCCAGGGAAACCTGACCAAACAGATGTCCTGAAGTCCCCAATTACTCCACAGCTGGGTTCCCTGCTCTAGGACTTCACTACTTAGAGCACCTGTGTCCTCTCCTCTGATACCCCTGACTGAAACACTCAGGAGTTGATATTGGTCACCTGCCCTTTCAATCATGTCTTCCTAGGTGCCATGACCTGTTAAATAGTTGGACAAAAGGAACAAGACATGAGCCCTGCCATCAGGAGTGCAATTTAGTGGAGCAGACAGAAGAGATACAGGTAACTGTGATATGGTATATGTGTTATATATGTGTTTTATATATATATATATGTGTGTATGTGTGTTACATATGTGTTATGATGACCCAAGGAACATAAAGAACACTGAGGAAAAGCATTTAAACTAGCCTGATTCACAAAAGAAGAGGCTTAGAGTTTCATGCCAATGGCTCACACCTGTAATCCTAGCTACTCAGGAGGCTAAGATCTATGGATCACTGCTCAAAGCCAATTATCTCCAGTTAACGAGCAAAAAGCCAAAAGGTAAGCTCTGGCTTAAGTGGAAGAGCACTGGACTTGAGCACAAAAGCTCTGGGACAGCACCCAGGGCCTGAGTTCAAGCCCCAAGACTAATATGTACACACACGTATACACACAGAAAGAACGAAAGAATGAAAGAACGAAAGAAAGAAAGAAAGAAGGAAGGAAGGAAATGGTCAAAAAGAAAAGGATATGGCTAATGATACTGAGGACGGTCTGAGCCTACAAAACCAGGTCATGAAGGAGGGAGGATACGTAAATGAACAGGAGGGGGGGGGTGGGGGGGTGTTAGTTGGACAGTAGGAAAATAAAAAACGTAGAACAAGGCTTTCTAGAACACAAGATGACCAACCTCGGTTCCAGCTGGTAGATAATGTATAGTTTTGGGCAAAGATCCGCTTGGCCAGAGAAGGGTACTTGAGAATCTGAGATTTACACAGCTGTATCAGGCTGTCCATGATGACTGGACTTGGAGACCAAAAAAAAAAAAAGAGAGAGAGAGAGAGACATTTAGAGATTTAAAGCAACAGGTTGACTTTAAAATCTACCAGTTAGAAATCCTATTTACTATGAAGGAACTTACCAGTAGGTCACTCTCTTGGGGATGTCCTCAGTGGAGTGCCAGAGACGAGCGTGAGAAATGATGTTCAAAACCTGCTCATCTTGGTTCTCAATGTGGTTCCTTGGATCATCAACAAGACTGAGCACTTTCTCAGGAAGACCTTCGATTAGCTTGGTCTTGGTAAGCCAGAGAGCCTGCTTCACACCTTTGGGACAATCAGCACAAAACAATGAAAAGAGAAGGTGGTCTGGAAAAAGATGCTCAAGCTGCCAGGTAGCACTGCGGGGAAACAATGGGAATAACTTCTGGATCTTCATGAATAACTCAAGGAGCCCTGAGTTTGACCTAATTTTTTTACATCTTTTTGAAGTTAATTCTGACAATCGATAATTACTTTTTTTTTTTTTTTTGTCCAATCCTGGGGCTTGAACCCAGGGCCGAGCACTGTCCCTAAGCTTCTTTAGCTTAAGGCTAGCACTCTACCACTTGAGCCATGGCGCTACTTCCAGCTTTTTCTGTTTTTGTGGTACTGAGGAATCGAACACAGGGATTCATGCATAGACAAGTACTCTACCACTAAGCCACATTCCCAGCCCAATTAGCTACTTTTTATCAGACTTGTATGAAGTAAATCTATGAAACATACTCCTATATTTGTCTAGTCATACTAAACATGTTGTTTTACTCATGACACTGAGTGCTGAGACCTTCTGAACCTTTCTCTAATCCCAGAGGGTCAACCAACATTTTCTCAAAGGGTGAGACAGTAAACACTTTCAGTTTCTAGGCAATAATTAACATGTGTATGTGATTATATTCAAATAAAACTTCACTTACAAAAAAGGGGAGTTGGCCTAGTTAACCAACCCCAACTCTGTAACCTGTACACTGCCAGCAAGTCCCGAGCCAAATCTGCGTCTCCTCTTCAGCAAACAGACTTCCCAGAGTGGACTTTTTTTTTTTTTAATTCACCTCATCTTATTTTTACTTTGTGCTGGATTCCTTCACTGATTTTTAATTTAATCTGGTTTCACTAGAAAATTTGTATATATTTTTCGGAGTCAATTTAGAGTGACAAGAGTCCTTAAACATTAAACAGCTCTCACTACTCTCAGGGGGGATGGGCTGCTGCAGTGCCTGGCAAAACCTCCCCAGCTTCACTGTCCCACAATCTGGTTTCCCTACAGGAAGAACAGACACAGCCTTAGAAGCTTAATTCTGACTCAGGTAAACATACTAATCCTCCTTCTCGGATGAAAGTTAGCACTATGTGTTTTTTGTTGTTTGTTTTTAGTGCCAGTTCTGGTGCTTGAGCTCAGGGCCTAGGTGCCATCCTTGAGCTCTTTTGCTCAAAGTTAGTACTCTACCACTTGAGCCACACAGCTCTACTTCTGGCTTTTTGGTAGTTAATTAGATAAATTATCTTGGATTTTCCTACCTGGGCTGGCTTTGAACAATGATCCTCGTATCTCAGCCTCTTGAGTAGCTAGGATTACAGATGTGAGCCACCAGCACCCAGCTAGCTGTACTATGTCCTTTGTAGTAATTATACCCACAAGTTGAAAGAAAGTTGTTGGCAGACAACTGCATTCCAGCTGGGAAAACATTACTGTGACTCCAGGACACATCATTTAAAAAGCTTTTAGGTGGTAAATTCCCTAGGACATGCCAAGTGCCACTAGGACACTTTGCAGGGATAACTCAGTCAATATCTCTAGTAGTAATAAACAAGGGCAATGAGATGTTTCACTTTGAAACTGATAAAGACATTACAATGGAAATACAGGTTTCAAAACAATATCTGGATAGGGTGATAAAACAGAAAGTCCAGAGGGAGTGGGTTTCAGGCAAACTTGATTTCGGGCTAAAGAGTGCCACTGTTGCTTAAACTTGAAAATTTACAGAGAGCCAGGCGCTGGTGGCTCACGCCTGTAATCCTAGCTATTCAGGAGCCTGAGATCGCGGTTCAAAGCCAGCCCATGCAGGAAAGTCTGTGAGACTCTTATCTCCAATAAACCACCAGAAAACTAGAAGTGGTGCTATGGCTCTAGTGGTAAGAGTGCTCACCTTGAGCTGAAAAGCTGAGGGACAGCACCCAAGCCTAGAGTTTAAGCCCCAGGACAGACAAAAAAAGAAAAAGAAAAGAAAAAAAGAAAATGGACAGAACTAACATGTTATCATTCATTAGTATATACAAGTAACATGTAATCATTAAAGCTGACATTTGTTGAATGCAAGTATCTATACTGTGCCAGAAGTTTAACCTACAAGTTTAACCTACCATTTTATGAAATGAAGGAGGAAATGTAAGATTAAGAATTTACTGCTTCAGATCATACTACCTTGTAAGTAACAGAGCCTAGGAGGAGGGCCTCAGTCCGTCCACTCTAAAGTCCATAATCACGCCATGATCTCAACTGGCACTCCTACCAATATATCTTGCAAGTTTTATTACACACTTTGCAAGACTTCTCTGTGAGTGACAGACTGTAAGATATAGGATACCTTTTCAGTCTAGCCAAATGAGCATGATCTTAACTTCCAAAACATCATGCTTCTACTTGGATGTTTCACTATCAGGATCACTCAAAGATGCCCAGTCATGTAAGAACCTTCCTATGAAAGTGTTCAATGGCTAGTCAGCTTGCAGAAATAAGATGGCGCAGCTTAAGTGTATGACCAAATAACTCAAATTTTTATTTTTGTTTGTTTTTTCAAATTTAGGATTTATTTTCTGGCTTAGTTCCCAAACCCTGCCAGATCTACTTTTCTTTCCTAATCCCACCCTGGAAAACACTGTTCCCACTGACCTCAACCATTTTGCTATTAGAAGCTGTCCTTTTCCAATCTTGATTTGGGTAAGAATAGAAAGATTAAAGAATGGGAAAAGGAACTCTTTTTTTTCTTTTTTGGTTGGTCATGGGGCTTGAACTAGGCTTGGGTGCTGTCCCTGAGCTCTTCAGCTCAAGGCGAGCGCTCTACTGCTTGAGCCACAGCACCACTTCCAGATTTCTAGTGCTTTATTGGAGATAAGAGTTTCACGGACTTCTCTTGCCCGGGCTGGCTTTGAACCGCAACCCTCAGATCTCAGCCTCCTGAGTAGCTAGGATTACAGGTGTGAGCCACAGGCACCCGGCAGGAACTCTTTCTTTGGTCAGTTGTTGGGCTTGGACTGGGGGCCTGGGCACTGTCCCTGAGCTCTTTTGCTCAAGCCTAGTGGTCTACCTCTCTGAGACACAGTGCCACTCCCTCATCTTGGACTCTGAAAAATAATTCCTGATACTGCTCAAGACAGGAATCCTCTGCCTGGATGCCACTTCCCACCCTTCAGAGCATCCTCCTAGTTAGAATAACAGTCACAAGCCACAGGGACCGGCCATTTGTTAAATTTTCATAAACTGATTCTTGCCTAAGCTTGCCTCAAACCAAGTCGTTTCATTACTCCCTCACATCATTTTTTTTTTTGGGGGGGGGGGGTGGTTATGGGGCCTGAACTCTGGGCCTGGGCACTGTCCCTCAGCTCTTCAGCTCAAGGCTAGCGCTCTACCCTTGAGCCACAGTGCCGCTTCGGCTTTTTCTGCTTGTGTGGTGCTGAGGAATCGAACCCTGGGCCTCATGCATGGGAGGCAAGCACTCTACCACTGAGCCACCTTTGCAGCCCCGCTCACATCATTTTTTTTATTGTCAGGGTGATGTACAGAGGAGTTACAGGTCTATAAGTAAGGTAGTAAGAACATTTCTTGAAAAATCTGTTACCCCTTCCCTCATTTTTCTCACATCATTTTTTTTTTTAATCTTTTTACATTCCACTCAATCCTATCCCGGAAGATAGAAGACATTCTTAGAGCAGATGAAGAAATCAAGAACCATGGTTTGGAGGTCTGCCCAAAGCAGAGGGTCGGAGGCCACGCAGGGCACAGGGACAAGTTCCCTCCCACCGACCCTGGGCCTCACCCTCGAGGAGACGGCAGCGCTGGTGGAAGACGTAGCAAGGCTGATCCTTGTACAGTGGGTGCTCGTGAAAGGGGGGCGGGCGGTGGAACTTTGGGTGCTTCCAGCCGCGGTCCCAGGGCGGGAAGATCGGCCGCGCCAGCCCAGGCATGAAGTGCATCTTCCCCGCGTAAGTGATGGGCTCCAGTCCCGGGATCTCATACACGCGGTCCGGTGGAGGGGGGCCGGGTTTCCGTGTGGAACGCACGCCCCACTCGTACGCCCCGCGTCTCGGGGCCCCGCAGCCCCCAAGGCCAAGCCCCGCAGAGCCAGCTAGCGCCCGCTTAGCGGGCCCCACCGCCAACGCCATACTGACTCGGTCTCCCCAAGCCCTCCACTAGGAGGCCGCCATCTTCCCTCGCGCAGAGCCTGCCGGGAGCGAAAGGGGCTGGGCGCCAAGGTTCTTTAAGTGAGTGGCAGACCCTTTAACCAGTAACACTCAGCATGTCTTTCGCCTGCTCCGCCCTTCAGGATTTTCTCATTTTCTTATTGGTGAGATCTGATAAGCACTCCCCGCCTCCAGAGGGGGGGGGGAGCCTCACGTCCTTACGTGAGGGGACTGCTGGAGTTTAGGTGAGTGGCGGAGGCAGGGACCGGGGAGCGACAGGTGAGCTCCCAAACCTCAAAGCTGAGCCTCGCTCATCTTTGTCAGCTTAAGCGCCGTAGGAGCTTGGAGGAGCTCTCAGCGTATCTTGCTGTAAACATAGGGATAGAAATACCTTAGCGGGTGTACCTGTGCAGCTCCATGCTCTTAACTCAGGAAAAGTTTTCTTTCCACCCACGTCTTACTACAGCCGAGCTTCCCGGCCTCCCCTCCGCCGGCCTGCGAGTGAGTGCGGCCCTGTCCACACCACCAGGCCCGCACACCACTGCTGCTTCTGCCGATCTCTTCCCCAGAGCCTGCCTGCAGCGACTTTCTTCCTGTTCCTAAGGAATTTCTCTTTTTCTCTTCCTGGAGGCAGGGCCTTAGCGTGCAAGGCTGCTCAAAACACCTTTGCTCAACACCTGCTGTTGCATGCCTGGCTGTGCTGAGCACCAGGTTGGCATTGGTGAGTAAAACATGAGGTGTAGAGCTTACGTTTTAGTAGGAGACACAGACAGAATGCAGGCAGAGTAAACAAATAATAGCAGCACACACATACACTTCCTGTCCCTTCTCCCTAGTTCTTTTTTCTTTTGTATTTCACATTGTCATACTATGTTTTTCATTTTTATTTTAATGACAGTCTTTCCCATGAGTGCAGGGGTTTCTGTTTCTTTACTGCTGTTTCCCCTGTGTGTTGAAAGTGCATGTATAATGAATATATAATAGAATCAAATAGAATGCAGGAGAGAGTAGATAAAGGGGAGGTTTAGGGAGGGCCCCTAAGGGGAGATGACCTTTTAGCCAAGGCCTGAAGAGTAAAGGAGAGGCATCCAGGCAGAAGCAATCATGTATGTCAAAGCCTGGCTTCTTAGACTGGAAAGATAGACTTGAGAAGAAGGAATGGCATGAACCATGTCTTTAAATTTATGACTGAATGGCCAACTTCTACATTAGTCTCCCAGAGTCACAAGGAATAAGAAACTGGTATAAAGAGACCAAACTTTATTCACTATTGATATATACGTGGTACACAGCATGTGGTAGAAATGGATTGGAATGGATTGATGTAACACCATGCTAGATCTTTTTTTTTTTTTTTTTGTCAGTGATAGGGCTTGAACTCTGAGCCTGGGTGCTGTCCCTGAGCTCTTCAGCTCAAGGTGAGCGCTCTATCACTTAAGCCATACTGCCACTTCCAGTTTTCCAGTGGTTAATTGGAGATGAGAGTCTCACGGACTTTCCTGCCTGGGCTGGCTTTGGACCATGATCCTCAGATCTCAGCCTCCTGAGTAGCTAGGATGACAGGTGTGAGCCACCAGTGCCTGGCCATGCTAGATCTTTTAAGCTAGGGAACCATGCCTTCCATTGTCTCTCAGCACCTACCACTGTGCCTAGCTCCCAGTCCATGTTTATAAATGGGCTGAGCATCCACTAGTCTCCTAAGAGCCTACCATATGCCAGGCTGTATTTGATGGGAAAATGCTTAAAGAATAAAATGTGATCTTTGCCCTCACAGGGCTCCCAGCCCTAGACCTTCTTGAAGTTGTAGAATTCACATGCAGTGGAGTTCTCTGAAGCCAAATCCTTTCTCTACTAAGAATATTTCACACTGAGGGACTGTCCTTCTAAAATCAATGGGAGTGAGTGGTAAGTCCACTCTACCAAACAACAGATCTGTGGTTGATCCATCCTTGTCCCCAGAACCTAATACTTGCAGGCTTTGAGGAGAATGAAGAATAGAGGAGTCCAGATTATAACCTCCATGTTTTCCTTCCAGGTAGGCAAGACAGAAGAGCTTGTGCCTGTGACATTACAGAGCACAGACTGCTCTGGGAAAAATGCCTATTTGTCCTTCCCAGGCTGCCCCTACCCCACTAACAATGGAAGAGAGGACGGAGGATGATGCTGAGGAAGACTGGCTGCAGCTGCGACCAATGGAGCCCTTGCCTTCCCAGTGCTGTGGCAGCGGCTGCTCTCCCTGTGTCTTTGACCTGTATCACCGAGACCTAGCAAGGTGGGAGGCAGCCCGAGCCAGCAATGACAGGAACCTACTAAATGAGAAGCAATCACAGGTGAGGAAGTCAGTCTTCAAACTGGAGGCCCAGGGTGACAGAGTCTATGTGGTCTTGCTTTTGCCAAGTACCTTGAACAGGGGAGAGGAAAGAGTGAACAAAATGGAAACAGACAGATCCAGGATTAAAATCCAGGCCTGGAACAAACATTTTAACAGCTGTGTGGTTTTTATTTAGGCAAAGTCCATTAACCTCCCTCAGCCCTAGTTTTCCCTTCTATAAAATGGGACTGAACATTTGTAATGTTTAGTACAGAGCCTGACATTTCACTTCATTATCTACTGAGTAACCATTATACATCCAGCTCTAAGCAATTGAGGATGTGAGAATGAGCAAGATAGGCATAGGCTTGATTCATAGAGCAAATAGCATATACTAGGCCCATAGGGAATGTTGTTTCTTCTTCTCTGACCCTAACTGATTTTTCCTTCCTTTTCTGAACTCCTAGGGGACTGCAGTCAGTCTGAACCAATTTAGTCCTTTTCGATGCTTGAGAGTTTTCACAGTTAATAATTGTAGGTATCAGATCACTATAGAGTTCAACACCTATACTAAATAGACAGGGAAACTGAGGACCCTTTCCTTCTGAGACTGCATACTCCTGGTTTTGAATCTGTCCCCATCCTGGCTTTCCACCTCAGAGTAGGTTTCCCACTGCTCATGTTCCTGTTGACCTTGTAGTGTGATGGCATTTCTTTCTGTTGCTGCCTCTGTCTATGCAATAGGCCTCCTCATCACTCTGGCTAACTGTCCTCCATTGTTGGGGCCCCAGCTAGAGCAAAGCTCAGCCCTCTAGAGTCATTTATGTTATTCTGAAGCTGTAGATAATACATCATAAAGAAGTGCAGTTGTTTCTTCAAACCACAAAACCCAATTTTGTATCTATTTTTGTTAAATCCTTGTAGTTCTGCCACAGAAAAATGGGGACCAGAGCATAGTGGCCTCTGCAATGACTGGAAAATGCTCCTAACAGTCTATGTTTCTTCTCTCTCTCTGCCTGCATCTCTATGTGGCACGCCCCTTCACTTCTTTCTGATCTCTGTTCAAATCACATTTCACTCCTTTTATTTGTCGGTCATGGGGCTTGAACTCCAGGCCTGGGCACTGTTCCTCAGCTTTTCAGCTCAAGGCTTGCTCTCTACCATTTGAGCCACAGCACCACTTCCAGTTGGAATTGGAAATAAGAGTCTCACAGACTGGCTTTGAACCATGATCCTCAGATCTCAGCCTCCTGAGTAGCTAGGATTACAGGCGTGAGCCACCAGTACCCCGCCACATTTCTCTCTCTCTCTCTCTCTCTCTCTCTCTCTCTCTCTCTCTCTCTCTCTCTCTCCCTCTCTCTCTTATTTTTTTTTTTTGTCACTTATGGGGCCTGAACTCTGGGCCTGAGCATTGTCCCTCAGCTCTTCAGCTCAAGGCTAGCACTCTACCACTTGAGCCATAGCTCCACTTCTGCTTTTTCTGCTTATGTGGTGCTGAGGAATTGAACCCAGGGCCTCATGCATGCAAGGCAAGCACTCTACCACTGAGCCACCTTCCCAACCCCCACATTTCTTTTCTTGATTATCAGTTGTACTAGATATCTTCAAGATATAACTGTTCAAATGGATATTGTCTATCTCCTTTGAAAGTTCTTTGAAAGAAGAGGGCTTTGTCTTGCTCACTGTTCAATCCTTAGCAACTGAGTAAACCCTGGCATTGCAGTCAATAAATAGTTGTTGAATGAATAAATGAGTTTCTTGAGGATCTACTAGGTACCATGTCCTGTGATATAAGCACAAGGAAGTGAATAATAAAATCAAGATGCCAGGATGCCAGCTTTCAAAACCTCAGCTATAAAAAGGGAATGGAATTGCAAGGTTATAATACAAAGAACGTGAGCTAAAGTTCCATTCAGCCAGTTAATTGTATGATGATAAGTATGTAACTTTAGTTTGCTAAACCTATGTTTTCTGATCTAAATATGGTGAAAAGTAGTGCCTAATTTGTAGGCTACTGTTAGGATTTTATGGGATAAATATATAAAACACAGGGCACATAGTAGGTGCTTAATAAATAGTAGCTGTCATCACCTAATAAAAATTAGCATATTTCAATAAAAATAGTGAATGTAAAAATAGTGTATTTCAACCTAATAGTAAATTCATTTTAACTTTTACTAAAACACTCATAATAGAAAAAAAGTTACATTTCCATGGCAATTTATAAATATAAATTTTATAAATATTCCTACATTGTTATCTCTTTCAACCTTCATGATATCTTGTAAAGTTATATGGGATGAGTGGCTCCTTTTTATAGATGAGGAAACTGTCACCTACAGGACCAAATAACCTGTGTTAGTTCTCAAGGGTGGGCAGCAACTGAGCTAAAGCTAAAACCACTACACCTGACTCCCAGTCTGGAGCTCTTTCCTAAGCCCCAGAAGCTGTGATAGGGGGTACCCAGGTGTTCTGGCTGATGAGGAAAAGGTCATCTTGACCCAGATGAAAGTATAGAAAAGAGATAAAGCCTTGGTTACTAAGCCCGAGAATGTATGTCAATACTGTGACACTGTCAACACTACAATAAGTTAACTGGAGTTCCAAATTTTGCACTGTGCCCTGACCTGAGTAGGTCAGTTGAATCCAATGTGGGCATTTCATAAGAGAGAGAGAGAGAGAGTGAGAGGTATGAGTCATGACATTCAGAAAAGACTTCCTGAGAAAG